GGAAAGAGTTCAGGGAGCTCGTTGGAGACATCACCGAGCTTCTTGGCCTGCCAAATGTCTCCGATTTTTTTCCGGTGATGGCGAGATTCGATTTGCAGGGGATACAGAGGAAGATGAAGGTTTTGTTGGAGAGATTTGATGGGATTTTTGCAAGAATTATAGAGATGAAGAGAGAAAAGAAGATGAAAGATGGGATGAACGAGGAAAAGAAGGATTTTTTGGATTACATGCTTATGTTAGAGGAGAAGGGAAGTGAGAGCAAGGAAACCTTCTCCATGACCCATATTAAGGCATTGCTCATGGTAATTTTTTTTTTCCTCTTTTGAAGTAATTTTAAAAAGAAATAGGTGCTGCTGAAATTAATCCAAATGATTTTTAAAATTACTTTTAGATTAATTTAATTTATATATTATTTTCATCTTTATATTTTGATTTTAGCATCATGATTTTTTTCTACTTATTTTCTAGGGGCTTTTATATACATAGCACACAAAACTTCATATTTATCTATCTTTTCATGCATAAGTAAAGTGCTATATGTGTAAAAATAAAATTTTGGGTGTGAGATGGGTAAATCCATAAAAATTGAGTTTTATGAATGTAATTTTCCTATTTTTTATTCCTGTAGTGTATTATGTTCTATTATTGTGCATTTGACTTCAATTAATTATAACTTGTAACATATATAAAAACAAATCTCACATGGGAGGGTTGAGGGCCTAGTAAATTATATTCTTGATAATATAGATTTATAAAAAAATTTATTTTTTATTTAACTTTAGATGTGACTTTCTCAACTAAGAAGTGCGCGCGCGCGCGTGCGCGTGCGTGTGTGTGTGTATGTGAGGCTATTAGACGATGAGACTATTAGACGATCTCCACCCATACCCATGTATTCTAAATATTCGAGTACCACACCCTACGCACGGGGAGATTCTAACCTGTGACCTGAGGGGACTTACAACCATCAGAGAGGTTGCTTTTCAGAGAGGCTGTTTTTCCAACAAGTCATGGTACGCCACACACACGCACATACACATATATATCGTTTTCCCTTTTAGAGTTGTATCCAAGGGTTCAAGTTGCACTCCAGTTGTACCTCACTTTTGAAATGATGATTAACCTTCATTCCCCATCCTTCCCGCATCATTCCTCTCCTCCTTTCCTTGTTGTCATCGCCCAGAACTGTCATTTCCTATTGTTCCAGCTCTCCAATCTTATTGATGCTACCTAGAACAGCCAGGACTTAGATGTTTTCCCATTATTCCACCACTATCAGCTCCAATTCCCTACGTGATGTCTCCCATGATAACAAGGAATTGTTGTCTTCCTATTGTTTCACTCCAAACAATTCTTATATATTTACCTTTGTAACACAAATCTTTAACACCATATAAAAAACATCACTAGTATAAATTTTGTAAAATAGAAGAACACCTTTAAATACATAACAACAGAGTGTTATGGATCAAACTTTAGGTGTTAAATATGTAAATATAAAGGAATTGTGCGGTATCTATATGTAAATTTCCTAGCATTTACATACAAACGACCTAGTTCCTATATATTTACATATTTATCCTTAAGCTTTACCTCAAATCTTTCGCATTACATGAAAGAATACTTTTTTTTTTTTACTTTTAAAAAGCTAAATATACATTTTCATGCACAAGTAAAGCTGTGTTTGCAAAAATGCACAAGTAACACTAAACATATGTGAATTTATTTTTTCAACTTGATATATTAAATTGTGATAGTTATAAGAAAGTTATTGTCTGATTTTTTAGAGAAAAAATATATTTTTTTTTAAATTTTACCGCAGCTCTATAAAAAAACTGCAACAATTTCAAATAAATCTCAAGTTGTCATACATGTGAAGATTGAAGTTTATATGTTAGATGTGTAAATGCATGGAAATTGAGTGGTGTGTGTGTGTACTTAATTCTTCTAAATGCAGGATATGGTGGTAGGGGGGACTGAAACAAGTTCAAACACCATAGAATTCGCCATGGCTGAAATGCTAAACAAACCAGAAACGATCAAAGAAGCACAGAAAGAGCTGGAGAGAGTAGTAGGCAGAGACAACGAAGTAGAAGAATCGCACTTACCCCATCTCCACTACCTCAACACGATCATCAAAGAAGTTCTCAGGCTTCACCCCGCCCTGCCCCTCTTAGTTCCGCACTGCCCAAGCTCGCCGTCCGCCGTCGGGGGCTTCGCCGTGCCGAAGGGAAGCCGAGTGTTCATCAATGTGTGGGCGATTCACAGAGACGAAACGCTGTGGAAGGATCCGTTGGAATTTAAGCCTGAGAGGTGGAATTGCGGGGGCGACGCAGCTGAAGGGGAGTTCTGCTACTTGCCCTTTGGATCCGGGAGAAGAATTTGTGCGGGGATTTTAATGGCGGAGAGGATGGTTTCGTACGCTCTGGCTTCGCTTCTCCATTATTTTGATTGGGAGTTGCCTCATGGAGCATTAGGGATTGATGTATCGGAGAAGTTTGGGATTGTTTTGAAGAAGGCGGAGCCCCTCGTTGTAAAGCCCGTCCTGAGGGTCTCCAATTTGGAGCTGTTTTGTTAAAAGTTGGAAGTATAATTTCGGAGGAATTATCTCTGCATGCGGTGGCTGAGCCGGACCGTATATCATGGTGATCTACGGTCAGGAGTATTTTCATTTTTTTTTTTAAAATAGGTGGGGCTCACCGAAATACATCGGGACCGTAGATCAGGTGATTTACGGTCCGGATCGGACACCGCACGCAATGGAATAATTTTTCATAATTTGGAGGCTGTTATGGCAATGTATGATATTTAAGTGAGTTATTTCGTATTGCTGAAAATCAATGTAACGTAAAATAAATGCATTGGAGTAATATATTATTGTTAAAATATTTTATAAGAGTTTGCGAGAAATGAAAATTATGTCTTTCCAAGTTGTGTTTGCTCCGGGGCAAAAGGCGACTGCCTGTGATAGTGCCCAGCGGCGGGCCG